AAACGCGAGCCAGAAATTCATTACGTACCAGTCATTAAATAGTTATTAGGCTAAATTGTCGCAGTTCTAACAGACGAAATCGATGTTGGATAGTTCTCAATTGTGCATGTGTAAGTATGGTCTCACAGGAGTTTGGCCTCATACATTTCGAGGTGTATTTTATCGTAAGATAAACGGGAAGGTTCCTGAATTGGTTAAACGATGGTTTGATATGGTTGAGATCCACACAATTGTGGGTAGTCAACCCATGCGTTAGTCTTCTCTCTGCGTGTTATGCTCATTCTAAAGTGTGTATGCGCCACATAGGGTGCTTGTGAATTCAAGTATTCGGTGGAACTAAGTGAACATAAATATTTCAACAATGGACAGAAATTTTCGCAAAGATAACTACTACTACTACTACTACTACTACTACTACTGCTAAGGAAACGGTCAGAGCCCTGTTGTTTTCTGATCCTGTATTACCTCTATTCACCTACATATTAGTGCATCGTGTGGCTTTATATCATTGCATGTGAGATGTCTTGGACTCAGGGTTAGTTTGAAGTTTAAAAGCCTTAGCGAACTGATTTTACTACGAAGTAGATATCGACACAATTGTAGCCTCAATAGACCCCCACCCCGTCATTTGGAAAATTTAACGGAGTATATTGTTCCCAGTTCAGATTGGAAGAAAGATGGACAATTTGTTGAGGTTAAGCGGTAGAACACACTAGACAACTGTTAAACTTTGGTGTTTTGATATAAAACAGAAGAGATCAATCTACTAGTTGGCTTATTCGATGCCTAACTTGGGATTAAAAGTCAGTGCTAAGATTTTATATCAACAAAATTCAAATGATGTCTAAACCATCACAACAGGTTATTGTTAGCAATGAAATATATTAGTTTTACAATTGTATTTTTTCGTTTTCAGTACATGTGAAATTAGGATCCGTCCTCGATGAATTTCAACTGTGAGGAGTTCCTTCAATCTCCAAAGTGTTGGGCGTATTTAGCGTGTGCAAAACTTTCATTCCATAAGCAACAAAGGGTTTCAAATAGCGTGTCTCATCTTTTGGGGGACTTTAAAACACTAAACACCTGTCCTATATCCCTGACCAGACTCAAATTGTAAACCGAATTGAAGGCTCAAGTCCCTATCCTTTGAGTCACACATGTTTCTAAAGCCTTTCGAGATCAGTGTTGCGAGTGGATTCCGCTAATTACCACTTGATTGAATCTAAATGTATTATTAAATACAACCTTTACTTACTTCCAAGAAATGCGAATGAACAACCCACATTTGGCATCCCCTCGTTCGTGGAAGCGCATTTCGGATAACATATGGTACAAACATTGCTTGTATTATGCAGTCAATCAACACAAATTGTGCAGTTATTGATTTTTATGGACAACCATGTGAATTTGGACGATGAATGTTTTAATGATAAGCCCATTCGGTTTCTCACAAGTACCAGACACTGTTGATGGTGCTTTCGGGTGTGGATTTCACTCCCTGGGAGATTCACCGCCTAAGTGGATTGAGCCACAAGGTG